AACCGCCATCCCCAAAGCCAGTTCCCCACTCAGAGCCCTAGATGTGCCTCCAGTCCCCACACAGTGGTGCACACGTCAAAGCTTAAGTAGTCCTGGTCCCAGGACCACTCGTCTGCACACAGCGGAGCAGAAATGCCAGCAGTTCTGACGGCAGCCGCCCTTGCCATGCCCACTGCTGCCCCGAGAGCCCCAGTGGGGCCACAGCCACCAGGGAGGGGTTGGAGTGCTGGGTCCTTCCTGGTGGGTTGAACAGAGTGGTGCCACAGGCCTCAGGCTACCCTAAGTGCTTGTGGACAAAACCACCAGAGCCCACGCTGCTGCCCCCAGTTCCAGTTCTGCAGGAGGGCCCTGTGGGTCCACAGCCTGGGCTTCTCGTCGGAACGCAGGAGCTGCGACCAGCTGACGGGTGTGTTCCCCGGCACTGCCCACAGCTCGTGGCAGTTACACTGGCAGGAGGGCTCGGAGGGAGCTGGCGCCGGGGCTGGCCACACCGCCAGGCCTGAGTGTCCACGCCATGGCAGCCCCAGTCAAGCGTCTGCCACAATTTTTAAAGTCTCGTCTGGCTTGCCATTAGGTCAGAGCCAGGTGAAGAAGGAACTCCCAGTTTCTGAACGAGTAGCTTTCAAGGACATGGAGTCAGAGTCAGGACACCTTGAGCGCCAGCCTGTCCCTGCGAGTTCTGTGCCCCGAGCGGCTGGGCCCTGCAGTCCAGCTGGCAGTGAGTGCCCCTCTGAAGCCAGGAGCCCACCGCTGGGCCACGGCGCAGGTCTCTGCTCTCAGCCCTCCTTGCTCACCTGCCTGGCCCCTTCTGGTGCCAAGAGGCTGACCTGACCCTGACCTCGCTACGCCTCGGCTGGAGCCACAGCGCTAGGTCCCTCCACCCAAGCTAGGTTTACACTAGTAACTTTCCATTTGCTGTCTAGGGTCACGGCTCACCTGGGCCAGGCCGGAGCAGGTGCCTGTCCTGGGAGGGGTGAGGGCCACACCCCGAGCCAATTCTTCCCCTCCTAAGTCCTAGTGGAAAGAACATTCCAGGCCACACATCTGAGAAAAGGGAGACCTCTGTTTGATGGATCCTTGGGCATCTTGACCCTCCAGGGAACATGAGGACTAAGATCCTACAGGTGGTTAACATAGAATAGTGGGAATAATTCCGAGTTTCTCAAGTTCCGTCTCTGCCCACCAGACTGCTCTTCTTGTGGCCAGACCACTGCAGGATCTCCTGCCCTCCAGCCCTTACTCCACAGCTAGAGCGACTGCAGATGCATTGTCCCTCCCCACCTGCTTGCCATGTCTCTACCCCTGGAGCAAACCCATCCTGCAGGCCACCTCCCAACCCAGGACCACTTGGCTGCTTCTGACCAGCCAGGGATGTAAGGGCTCTGAGCCGCACCTAGTCTCTCCCTGTTTCTCCTGTGTTTTTGCCTTCTTGCCTTGGCCTCTGCCTTTTTCTCTCTCCCCTGCCTTCCCACCTGTCTCCTCCGACCATCCCTCCTCCTGCATCTACGTCCCCTCACACATCCTTCCTCCTGCATCTCCGACCTTTTGGTTGTGTGTCTCTGGGACTTGGGGGGTGTGGTCATTGAGGGGTGCGGTCTGGCGGACGTAGTTTGAGGAGTGGGGGGGGTCTTCCCCATACCTCCTCCAAGATGTCCTCTGGGCTTCCTCTGGCGGCGCATTTCCAGTCTTGCCCAACCTGGGACTTCTGCACTTGCCTCAGCTGCCCAAGAATGAGGCACCACCCAGTCCACCCTGTGCCCTTCCGGCCTCCACGCTGCTGGACCTCTACTCCCAGGCCCTGGGCCAGCTTCCTCCAGGGACCTGTTCCTCCCTGTGGAACCGCACTGGGAGCGCCTGACGCCCACCCTGAGGAAGGATGGGACCCAGTGTCCACCCAGTGCAGCGCCCGCCCACCCACCCACCCAGTCAGCTGTCCAGAACAGACACAGCAACACAAGATGCAGACACCCCTCGAGGGTTGGCCTGGGCAGGGGGATGCCCCTCAACTTCCCACGCTGGTCCCAAGCATCATTCAGTGCATTCCTGTGGGGTGGGGACACCCAAGAGCCCTTGTATACGCAACAGTTGTACAGCCTTTTCATTTACTACCAGCAGCTGCATGAACGCATCTGGACTCTCAGGCTCCCTGGGCTCCGGCCTTCCTGCCCTGCCAGCATGGACCTCCTAGTGGCCCCGCAGGGGGTCACTGTCACCCTGTTTTTCCCACGGGGGAGTCCAGGCTTAAATCCCCTTTGTTCTGCTATATTAATGGTGCCAGGGCAGGATGTGTTGAGGACATGACCCCTGCCCTCAAGGGGCTCACACTACCTTTTGGAGGCAACAGGAGGGGCTGGGATTTTTCTGATACCTCTAAAGGCCCCACCAGGGAGGCAGGTCTCAGTTTGGCCTAAGGGGAGGTCTTTCTTTTTTATTATTATTCTTAATTTATTTATTTCTGTTACCGATGTTTCTCCTTTTTTTCCCTACAGACACCCTCCTCCCTATCCCGCCCTGCACTAGGCATTGTGTCTATGTCCACTGGTTACGCAGACGCATATGAATTCTGTGGTTTATCTCCTCCTCCCCGCCACGCCCCTCCTCTGAGGTTTCTGTCTGAACCGTACTCTAAGGAAGGTCTTTCTCTCAACCTGACCCAACCCACAATATAAGCATCCAGCACCCATCCTGGTAGGGGTGTACTGGGCTTAATTGTGTCCCCCCACTCTGAAAAGTATGTTGACGTCCTCGCCCCAGCACCGGTGAGGATTGTGCCCTTCCCGGAGAAAAGGGTCTTGGCAGACATAATGAAGGTATGTATCCTGAAATGAGATCATTCTGGACGAGGGTGAGTGTCCTTACGAGACAGACACACAGGGGAGGGCCAGGTGAACACAGAGGCAGAGGGTGAGCTCCCCATTGCAGGAAGCATGCAAGCAGAGGATGGATAGGTTGGGGCATTTTAGGAGGAGCCATACTGGGGACTTAATGCATCTATCCATCCATCTGCTCATCATTCGGAGTCAGCAGAGGGAGTAGTCATGACGCAGCACCTGTGGCCAGGGCGTTTGCGCAGAGGGTGGGATCTCCTTTCCTCCTCACCTGCTCTCCAGGAGGGCCGTGCACCTGTGAGCAGGTGCAGCTGCTGAGGCCCAGAGCCACACGCTGCTGAGTGGAGGAGCTGGAGAGCCAGGTTCCCGCTGCCTTCTCCAGGCCCTCCCCTCTCAGGGGGTCTTCATGCCCAGCAGGTTCGCAGTTTCAGACTTAAGGAGAATGGCACCATAATGGTATACACATTCTGGCACCTGCCGGCAGGCGAAGAAAGACACCCCCGCTCGCACCCCTAGACTCTTCTCAGCTGGCCATTTTAGACTCTGATTTGAGAAGACCAGGGTACACAGGGCCCTCAGCCTTGGAGAGTACCCAGGGGACCCCTAAGCAGGCCCTCCCCAGGATGGTGTTCAAACCCTAGTTAAAAGTTTGCAAGATCTGGCTCCAAACTGTCTCCTTTTTAGGATAACAAAGGCATCCCCCAGGACCCCCTTCCCAGCCACAGCACTGAGTGGGCGGGATGCAGGTGGGCTCCTGGGGCCTCCGTAAATAAAGCTGCCTAGGGTGCACTGCACTCTAAAGTTTCCAAGGCACACCCTGACCTGTGTGGCTCGGTTGATTAGAGCATCCTCCTGTACACCAAGAGGTGGCGGGTTCGATTCCCAGTCGGGGCACATGTGGGAGGCAGCTGATGGATATTTCCTCCCTCTCTCCCTCTCTCCCTCCCCCTCTCCCCCTCTCTCCCTCTCTCCCTCCCCCTCTCTCTAAAAAAATCAAATAAATAAATGGATAGATGGATAGATAGTTTCCAAGACAGCCCTAGCTGGTTTGGCTCAGCGGTTAAAGCGTCGGCCTGCGAACCAATGAGTTGCTGGTTCGATTCCCAGTCAAAGGCATGTACCTCGGTTGCGGTTCGTCCCTGGCCTTGGTCGGGTCGTGCAGGAGACAACCAATCGATGTGGCTCTATCATGTCGATGTTTCTCTCTGTCTCTCCCTCCCTCCCTCTCACTCTATCTGATGATTAAAAAAAATAAAGTTTCCAAAATATTTCAGACTTTTTAGCTTGAACTTTTGTTAAAACAAATGAACAGCCCAGCCGGTGTGGCTCAGTGCTTGAGCGCCGACCCACGCACTAAGAGGTCGCTGGTTGGATTCCTGGTCAGGGCACATGCCCAGGTTGTGGGCCTGATCCCCAGTGGGGGGCATGCAGGAGGCAGCCAATCGATGTTCTCTCTCATCGCTGTTTCTCTCTCCCTTCCTCTCTCTTTAAAATCAGTAAAGAAAAAACAAACAGAAAAACCCACAAGTGCCCAAATGTAGGGTGTGGCAAAAGTAGGTTTACAGTTGTTCCTATGGAAAAGAGTATATGAATAAATAGTTTCACATGCTCACAACTATAAACCTACTTTTGCCCGCCTTGAAGAAACCTGACGGTGCTCCCTGGCCCCAGCCCCCCAGGTCTCTCCTGGACCTTCTTGCACCTGTGTAGCCAGACACTGATGTTCACCTGATCTTGATCGTCTCCGATATAAATGGAACCAGCCTCATGTCCATGGACAGGGGACAGGAGGAAGCAGCATGGGATGAGCAAGCCCCATCCCGGGGTCCCGGGTCACCAGCTCCAGGTAGCAGAAACATGCAGGTGGAATCAAAGAAGCAAGCTACAGAATACTCCGCAAACATCCTTTTACAGGAAGTTCGAGAATAGAGACTGCCGCCAGGCACATACCAGCTGCATAGGCAGCACCTGTTTTCAGCTCCATCCACAGGTGCTTAGCCTGAGGTAGGATCCCTCTGGGTGGGGAAGGGAAGGGAACAGGGCCTGAGAAAGGGTCGGGAATGAGGGGTGGGCTTCTCCCGCCCTGGCTGGGGAGGAGGGAACAGTCAGTGGGGACCCAGAGAGAGAGGAGGAGGAAGCAGGGGCTGGGCACTTCCCAAGGAGGAAGCGATAATGCCGGATTTTCCCCAGGTGTGGCCAGAGGTATAAAGGGCGCTCTGTCAGTTGGCCAGGGCCAGGTCTGCCACCTGGTGCACCCCAGGACCACAGCCAGGTGTGCTTGAGACTGCCGCCAGGCACATACCCGCTGCCCAGAGCCCAGCCGCTGCCGCTGCCACCACCACCGGGATGGTGAGCCACCTCTCCCCACGCCCCCACCTGGATGGATGGTGCCGTCTGCCCCAGACGATTGGCAGTTCCCTGAGCTCCGGGCTAATGATGTTGGGATGGGGTCCAGGAAGCCCCTCCAAATCTTGGGGCAGGAGGGAGCCAGGACCCAGGAGCTCTGGTTCACTGGGGAATTTGAGCCCCGTCTGGGCTTCAGTTTCCCCAACTGTAGAGAGTGGGCTATACACTATCTTTTCACGGGGAACAGGGCAAGCTGGGGTGGCAGCGAGGTGCCTTCTTCACTGGGCACCCTGACCACCCACCACGTGTTTCACCAGCTCCTCCCTGGACTGCTTCTGCTCTGGCTATCTGCTAGCCTGGCCCACCATGGCTCCCCACTCTGGAGAGGCCCCCATATCCACCCTCATGGGACCCCACGCTGCTACTCAGCTGAGGACCTGGCCCGGGACCACGCACCTGCACATCTGTTGGCTCGAGCTGCCAAGTGGGAGCAGACTTTGCCGGTAGCCCTGGTGTCCAGCCTGGAGGCAGCAGGCAGCAGGAGGTTGCAGGAGGGGCCCCCAGCTGAGACCCAGTGCCCCGTGCTGCAGCCTGAGGAAGTACTGGACGCGGACATCCACCAGCGCTCCATCTCTCCCTGGAGATACCGGTGAGGGCCGTGGGGCTCCCTGGGCGCTAGGATCTGTGTGGCGCTGGGCTGCTCCCTCCCTGGAGGGTGAGGCTCCATCAGATGAGGTCATTTGTGCCACTGTCATCTCAGATCTTAGTCAAGACCTTGGGTACCAGGGCCCCCTGGGAAAACTCTGGGGCCCACACTTGAGCCCTGGTAGGGGTTGGGTTGGGCCCAGAAGGTGGAAGGGAGGAGGCTCCTGGAAGCCCCCTACCCCAGCTTTTGCACTGAAGGGCCCTGTAGACATGGCCAATCATCTCTTATTGAGCGCCAGCTGCATGCCAGCCCTCTGGCTCCCTGCAGCCCGATGCCTCCTCCTCTCACTCTGTGGGGCAGCCACGGGGTGCAGACAGGGAAGGAGGGGCACGCCTGCCAAGGCTCTCGGCAGGGCCTCACCAGCCTTTCCCTGCAGCGTGGACACGGACGAGAACCGCTACCCACAGAAGCTGGCCTTCGCCGAGTGCCTGTGCCGGGGCTGCATCAACACCAGGACGGGCCGCGAGACGGCAGCCCTCAGCTCCGTGCCGCTGCACCAGAGCCTGCTGGTGCTGCGCCGCCAGCCCTGCTCCTCGGACACGTCGGGGGTGCCCACGCCCGGGGCCTTCGCCTTCCACATCGAGTCCATCCGAGTGCCCATTGGCTGCACCTGTGTCCTGCCCAGGGTGGTACGGTGACTGCTGGCCCCAGCTGTCCCCTGCGCTGCAGGCAGGGGTGGCCTCCCAGACTGGACAGTGGGGATCTCTGCGGAGAGGGCCCTGTTTGTGTGTATTTATTGGTTATTTATGTGCCCCGTGGCCCTGCTTCTGCTGCCTGGGTCCCTGGGCAGGTACCAGGGCTCCAGGCCCCTCGTTTGTGGGCAGACCGGTAGACTCGGTAGTGGAAGGGCCAAGGGACCCGCAGGAGTCAGCCCTCCTCTCAACAGTTACCCTTTCACAGACAGGGCTAGAAGGAGCCTTATCCTTAAATCTAGGACTTTCTGAAACAACAGAAAAGGTGTGCTGACGGCCCCCACCTTAGTGGTCCCCCACCGCCTGTATATTTCTAAAACGTTTATTTATTGTAAATGTAAATATGTCATTAAATTGATAAACACCCCCAGAGCACAGTGTTGGATGACTGGGTGAAGGCACACGCCTCCCGGGCCCTCGCAGCCCACTGGCCCTGCAGGGGCAGCCACAGGCCTGGTTCTGGTGTGCCCTGAAAGGTCTGTCATGAACCCCAAGTGCAGCCGGAGTGGGGAACGAGTGTGAACAGACCAGAGTACAGGTGTGCCCTGCTGGCCGCTGCCGTTTCCACCCGGCGACACCCCTGGTGACGGCGCTGGTGCCCGGGGATGGGCCTCCCTCCCACGGCCCAGCCATGACGTAGACAGGCCCTCCTCTACCCACAGGCCCAGGGTGTGGCCAGACCCAGGCGATGACAGTGAGCACCCTCTCCGCCCCTGGGACATACCTCTCTGCCTCAGGACCAGGCCTCTCTGCGGGTAATTCCCGGGGGATTGGCTCAGGGGCACCTCTGCAGCCTGGCTGAGTGGCCTCACCGTTAGGTGTCTGAGTCATGCTTCCCCCACCCCAGCAGAGGCCCAGACATCCCCTTGAACTTCTGTCCACCACTGGTGACCTGCCAGACCAGGGGTAGCCGAGCTGGCCAGCACCCCCAGGCCGGGTGCCCCACCAGCCACCTGACTACTCGGCCCCTGTGGGCATGTTACTGCTGGAGGCCTTTGGTTAGGGGCCCAGGAGCGCATGGCCTCAGCGGTGTGGGAGGGGCCACGGCAGCCTGGGACACACAGGCCCAGCCAGCTCTAAGGGTTGAGGTGTGGCTGTGGGGTTCGCAGGGCGGACGTCAGCACCGCCCTGCTGGACCAGTGTCTTCACCCACTGACGCCCGTGTGCAAGCGCCAGGAAGACGGGAGGGTTTCCACGCGCTGGCACTGGGAACAGCCGTGAGCAGGACGGACAGCTCTCTGCCTGCCCACCCTGGTGACTGACAACCACAGGACAAGCAGTCAGGTGCGCCGTTGGCTGGTGGTGAAGGAATGCAGGGCAGTGATGCAGGGAAGGGGCAGGGGCTTTGACTCTGAACAGAGGGTCAGGGAGGCCATGGAGGTCACCCGAGCAAAGGCCCGGACGGCCAGCCAGGCACCGTGTTCAGGCAGAGGGAACAGTCTGTACAGAGGCCCTGAGAAGGCAGCATGCCCGTGTCTGAGAGTCATGGGTGGTCAGTGTGGCTGGAGCCAGGGGAGCAGGGGGTGACTGGGGGGCCAGGGTGGAGAGAGCATCTGTCTGGGACTGTGGGAGTCTGTGGGTCAACTGCAGTGCTGGAAATGGCCTGCAGGGGACAGGGCAGAGCAAGGAGGTGACCAGTGGCAGATTTATGAAGACAGCCCTGATGGAGTGTGGGGATGCATAAAGGGGTACCGAGGGGGCCTGAGGATGTCTTGTCCTGGAGGCTGGAGTGGCCGTTTCCCAGGACAGGGCTGGTGCAGAGGTGTTGGCTTTGGAACGTCAAGAGGACCCTGGTTCTGAAAGTGGGATTTGCTGAGAGCAGGTGGGGCCGAGGAGAGGCAAGGGGTGTAAGGTTCCTTCAGACTTTGGGGGGTGAGTGCCTGGGAGAGCCCATCGAGGAGGGGGGCTTCCAGGCTGCCATGTGAGCTGAAGCCAGGCAAAGCTGAAGGCTATAGTTAGCCCGAGAGAGAGGGAGGGAAAGAGAGAGAGAGGTGTCTGGTGTGTGTTTGCAGCCTCAGGACAGGAGAGACAAGGGTAGACCTGAAGCTCCCACAGCCGGCCTGGCCATCCTGGGGGACACCAAGGTGAAGGCTGGACACCCCGGGGCCTCCCCTTGCTCACCCGCTTTCCCTCCGCACTCAGCTGCTCAGGTGGGATTGGGGGCTCCAGGGGGGATCTGGGCAGGTCCGGGAGGGCTGGTGGGGAACACACTCCCCCCTCCCAGAGTTGAGTCAAATACTTGGAATTCCAGAGACTGTATTTCATGGACTAGAAGATGCTCTGATTTCAAGCACCACTGAGGCTTCTGGGAAGGACACCTGAGGACGCCTGTGGTCCTGCAGGGCAGGCAAGGGGGAGCCCTCAGGGACTGGGTAGGTCCCCTCACCGGAAAGCGACACCAGAGAGCGGCCACTCAAGGCCCGTTACACGACCTCATCAGTCACTGGGATAGGGTTTTCCTGGGGGCCGCCGGGGACCCCTGCAGCTGCTGCCTCCTCCTCCTCCTTGCTGGGCTTCTTGCGGGCCTCGACGGGGGGCCGGGGTGGGGGGTTGCTGGGTGGCTGCTTGATGGTGCCCCCCACCTGCGGCCGCTCCTTGGGCTTGGACTCGATGGGAGCCCACTGCTCACCGCGGATGGCTGCCTGCAGGACACAGAGGGGCTGGGCCCTGGGGTCCGTCCCCAACCTGACCCGCCCCTGCACTCCCCACCCCACCGGGGCTCGGGCAGGGCCAAGTCTGACTCCAACAAGACCTGAAGGGACGGTGGCTCCAAGCGGTTCAACGACTGGCCTAAGGCCACTCAGTAAGGACCTGGATCTGCCTGACCCCAAACTGGAGCCATTTCACCAGGTCAGGAGCGGCCCTGCAAGGGGCAGGAATCCCTGGGTTTCTGAAAGGACCCCTGGAGGACACTTCCAGGTGCACCCCCCAGACTCCCCCTAGGGGCAGGACAGGGAGGTCAGGAAGCTGGGCAGCACACAGGGTGGGGGAGGTCCAGGACAGCCGGGAGGACAGGGGCCCACGCAGCCTGGACCCACCCTGGAGCCCCCCCGAGGGCACTAGGTGGCATCACCATCCCCGTCACAGGAGCCAGCACAGGCTCCTGGCCCTGGCTCGGCCCACCGGTGGCTTCAGGGACCGAGGTGCCAAGCATTAGCAGGGCTGACCACAGGCGCCACTCACCAGGAGATAGATGCCACTCGCTATGGCCAAACAGGCTGTCCCCAGGATGGTGGCAAGCAGGAAGCCAGCTGGTACCGACAGCCTGGGGAGGGGGTGGGAGGGTGAGAGACTCAGAAGGGAGGTCAGAGGGGGTCCTTAGGGGATCCAGGTCCTGGGCAGAGGCCATAAGATCGCAGGACAAAACAGATAAGCGTGTTGTCCCCAGGACCCTGGACTCCGGGGACACCTGGCCCTGCCAAGGCTTTTAAGTTTGGGTCCCCAGAGCTGTCCTCTGCCTTGCCTTGGGCACTTTGCTCTTGGCCCCAGCAGCCGCAGAGGCACGGGGTGTTCTGGCCTCTCGTCACCGGCACAGGGGCGTGAGGTAGCAGAACTGCCCAGCTGAGCCCTGTCAACCCCGGAACCCTGACTGCTCCTGATTTAAGTTACTCAGATCTGGGGTAAATTGTTATGCAGCAAGAAATGACGGATACAAGTTAGGGGAGCCCCTGGCCGAGCCTGGGACCTGGGTTCTGTTCGGAAAAGCAGTTGAGTTGAGAGAGACCTCACTTGCCCTAATGGCTCCTGTGCAGGCAGCCAGGCTAGTAGGGGATCCACTCCAGGGCCTCCTGAGCCTGCGAGTAGGCAGGGACTCACCCAAGGTGCAGGAAGGCCCGGAAGTAGTAATTCCTGGAGAGGGGCCCGAAACACTTCAACACTTTCGTCATGTACTTCTGTCCGCTAGACCAAACGAGGGAAGGAAGACAGATCGAATTCCACTCAGCAACCCCACGACCCACCCTGCCCCAGAGCACCCCGCTTCTTTCCTTTCAGGGACCCTGGGGGCAGCTGTGCAGGGAGGTCCCCGCCTTGGTTTGCCCAGGAGGATAAACGGGTTGGTTAGAGCTTCGCAGGGATAGGACCAGGCTTCTGCAGGGTCCCTGGCCAAGTGGCCCGCCCTGTGGGTCCCACCCAGCCCCTGGGATGACCCCTAGAGCAGGTAGGGGACTCACCATCTCTCCATGGTGGAGCCCTTTTTCCTCTTCCCCCGGGGGTACTCGAGCAGGCAGACAAACACTCCTGCTCCGCTGAAGCCACGGTCAAGGGAGAACCCCGCTCAGCCTGAGGGCCACGGCGAGCCCCTTTGCTGGAGAGACCCACGCACAGCTGCTGCCCCGAGCCAGTGGGGAAACAGCAGGTGGGGCTGGACAGGCCTGGCCACTTCGCTGCCTGTCCTGCCCCCCCCCCCCATGCCTGTCCTGGGGTCAGAGGGTCTGGAAGAGCCAGCCAACAGGGCGGCTGATAAAAGGGTACAGAGAGGGCCCGTGGGGGTGCTGACAGTTCCCACTCCTGCCAGGCACCAGACAAGTCACTTCTCTGAGCCTTGGCTTCCAAAACTGTAGCTGGCCTATCCTGCTGAGAGTGTCCAGGGCCCAGGGATAGGAGAAGCCCTCTGCAAACTGTGGGGTGCCGCGCCCCCAGGGGCAGTGGCATCTCTATTCGCAGCCCACTAGCGCTGCCCCCGGCAGCACCACCCACCCCACGGGGTCTACGGTGGGAGGATACATGGAGTAGGCGCCAAAGTACCACTGGGTGAACTGGCCGGCAGTGGCCACGATCCCGCCCATGATGAGGACTGTGGGCAGAGGAGAAGCAGGTTAGTTGAAGCCCCTGACCCATGGGAGAGACATGCTCCCCCCCATCCCTGCAGGGGACTCTGGCCACTTCCCCTTGCGCTCCCCCTTCCACAGCTGGGCCACCAGCTCCCCCCAAAGCTGCCCTTGAGTCCATCAACCCTGTTGTCCAGGAAGGGGACCCAGGCGGCGGCAGACACCCACGGCTAATGGAGGATGCCTTCCCTAGGACTTCCACGCGAGCGGGGAAGGGGCTGGAGCTGGTGGAGCCGGGCCTGTGTCCCTGGAGCTGTTGGAAGGACAGCCGGCCTCACAGCCCTAGACACTCGCTCTTGAGCTCTGTCACGTTGTCGTCGAGATTTTACGTTTAAAGACCACACTGCTGACTCCCTTTGGCGTCTGCTCCGTGGACGGCCTCACTGCGCGGGGTCCTCTGTCCCTACGCTGCATCCCACCTCCACTTCAGTGGTCTGACACGGACATTCCCACGCCCTTCTCTGGCTGGGATCTGTCGGGACTCCCTCCCTTTATTTTCAGCTCTGTGCACCTGCTGGATGTTTTCCCCCAGGTAATTTTTTTTTTTTACTGTGATAAAATAGACATAAAGTTTTCCATTTTAGCCATTTAAAAGTGAACAATTTAGTGGTATTATATACATTCACATTGTTGCGTATCCACCCCCAGAATTTCTACAATGCATGGAAGTATAGTTATTACACACGGTATAATATACAGGTGTAAACGCGATGACTTTACATACGGACCCCCTCCCCCACGTGACCTCCACCCAGGATTCCCAGCATCCCGCAAAGTTCTCTTGTGCCCGACCCGTCAGCACCAGAACCCTACATCTGGCTTCTTTAGCTCAACAGGAGGTTGTTAAGGTCATTCATGTGGTCTGGATGGATCACTAGCTCATTCTTTTTGTATAGTTTTCTACTGTATGAATCAACCACAATTTATCTGTTCTTCTGTCTTTGGGAAATTTTGGTTGCTTCCAGTTTTGAGCTATTACAAATAAGCTGATATAGCTGAATTTTTTATATATTTTAACCAATGTGACAGTGAATTTAACAGATTTCACTGACTGTGACTGCAGACAACTGGAACCTATTTTGTGTTATTTATTTATTTATTTATTTATTTATTTATTTATTTATTTATCTTTATTGATTTTAGAGAGAGGGGGAGAGATAGAACCATCGATGAGAGAGAACTTCAATTGGCCGCCTCTTGCATGCCCCTGGCCCACAACCTGGGCGTGTACCCTGACCAGGAATCGAACTGGTGACCTCGGTGCATGGGTTGATGCTCAGTCACTGAGCCACACCGGTCGGGCTCATGTTTTCTCTTTAACAGGAGTTTTTGTTGTTCCCCTGCTGAGTTATTTTAACTCCTCTTCCTGAACCACATGTCGACTTCAGAATGTTTAACTTCAATCTCACCCCCAAATTACCCATTATTACGAACTATTTATAGTCATTACTTAGTCACCAGCGTCTTCATTCTTGCGTCCCAGCCCTTTCTTCGGGATTGGTTCAATTTCCCTCTTGCTGAAGTACGTCCTGCAGTAGTCCTGTCCACGAGGGTCTATTCACAGCAACTCTCCGGGTCCCCAAAAATGTCCTCATTCTGGAATAACGGTCTATCTGGATACTGAATTCATGTTTTGTCTCAACACCAAAGACATTATTCCATTGTCTTTTGGCATCTATTACTGATAAGAAATCTGAAATCAGTCTGGTACTAATCCATTTTATTCTCTGGTAAATTTCAAGATGTTCTTTAATGGTCTGTATTTTTTATTTATTTATTCCTTTATTGATTCTAGAGAGAGAGGAAGTGAGAGGGAGAGACAGAAACATCGATGAGAGAGAGCATCGATTGGCTGCCTCCTGCATGCCCCCCACTGGGATCGGGCCCGCAGTGTGGGCATGTGTCCTGACCAGGAATCGAATCAGCAACCTCTTGGTGCATGGGTCGATGCTCAACCACTGAGCCACACCAGCCAGACTAATGGTCTGTTATTTTCATTACAATGTGTCCAAGAAGGGATTTAAACATCCTTTTATTCTGTAAGGAGCTTTGTTTTCTCCTTAAGTTCTGGAATTTCTCACCCATTCTCCCTTTTATATTGCCTCCTTCCATTCTATTCTCTTCTCTGGAACTGCCATTTTACAGATGTTGGGTCTTCTTGTACTATTATCATGACTCAGCTTCTCTCGCTACATCCATGGTTCCCTCAGATCCATCTTCCACGTCACTAATTCTCTCTTCATCTCTCTATAGTGCTTCATCCACCCACTAACCTATATCTGTTTATTTCTGGACATCCTATATTAGTCCTTTTTTGCATTGTCCTGTATGATTTTCTATTCCTTTATCTCCTTGAATGGTTTTAGACATACTCACATGTTTAAACATGTACCCATATTCTCAAGTCTCTTCCTAGTGGCACCAGAAGTTCTGGTTAAGGAGGCACATTCTTCTGTGGATGGCGTCTGCTTCCTCAAATGGTGGGTACGTCTGAGCTGCACCCAGCGGGGTTGGTCTTCCTGTGGCTGTCTTTGTGCCCTGGTTGAGGAACTGCCCTTACAGAGCAGTTTCACATTCGCCTCTGCTGGGGCCTTTGGGCTCCTCCAGTCCGGAATCGAGTTTATCCGAATTCTTGGGCAGTGGTCAGCACAGGTTAGGGTTCAGCCCTTACCCTGTGCACAGCACAGGCCTGAGTTTCTGAGGGGTTTTGTCTGTGCGTGACTTTCCTCATCAAATGACAAGCTTCCTTGGGTGGGACAGTTTCCTACTTGGGTGGCACAGTTTCTTGAACAGGCAGCTTTTCCTGGCTCTGGCCTGTAGCACACAGCTCCATCAGAGGCCCGAAATCCCACTGGGTAAAGCCTGAGCCCCTGTTGGTCCCAGTTCCCCAGGAGCCCCTTCCTTCTGCCCAGCCACCCCCTCGAAACCTCACTGTGCTGCTGCTGCCGGATTTCCTAACCTTGGAGATGAGTTATGTAATAACTCTTTTGGTTTACTCATCTGTACTTCTGTGAGTTGGAAGAGGGAAGGGTGTTCTCCCCACGTGTTCAGTCAACATGAGCTCCACTTGTCCTTGGGGGTGTCATTTTCTAGTTCTGAGCCTCAGTTTTGTTGCCTCCCATCAGCCAAAGGGGAGCAAAGACACCGCTGGTTGGCAGGGAGGCATGAGGGCTGACCGCATTACTGGGTACCGGGACTCTTGTAGGTGCTGGGAACTGGACAGAGAAGGCCTGAGCTCTCATGGGGCTTATGGTCTCAGGAGGGGACAGAAATAAACATCAGAGTGGTGAACTAGAACAGGGACTGTGACAGAGATGTCTAAGTGCTCCGAAGAGACTTCTCTGAGTAGGTGACATCTGAGCCGAGAAATGAATGGAGGAGCCAGCCACGGGAACAGAAAGGAGGCCTGTGCAGCTGGAGTGACAGCAAAGGGAGGGGACAGGGGCAGAACAATCAGAGTCGGGCTTTTATTCTTTATAAACACTGACGTGTTCTCAGCAGGAGGTGACATGGTCTGATTAGATGGGATTTTCTGCAATGGAAATGCAAAATGCCTGTTGGATGCACCTGCTAGTAGGGCCCAGCCAGGCCGGAGCAGTCCTAGTTGGCTGCAGTTCATTCTGAGTCAAGAAAAAAAGTCAGCAAGAGGAGGAACTAAGAGAGGGAAGGGCCCTGGGAGACCAAACTGCCCCATTTGATGGTGGAGGAAATGGAGCCACAGCTCATAAGTTCTCTAAAACTTATCTTCACTGTAAAGTGAACGTAAGAATTGCTCCAACCTCCCAGCACTGTGAATAAGGCAACGAAGGGACAAAGTGTACACAGTGGGCATGCCATGAACGGGGATACGGGGCGGGTGACTGTACCCACTGGGACTCGAACCCAGGCCTCTCAGAGAGCTCCCAGTGAGGTGCCCTCTGTCACCTTCTACTTCCTGGGGGTGGGAGGGGTAGGGGGGCTGTGGGAGAAAGGGAGGCTGGTCTGCAGCAGTATAAGGCCTCACAGCCTGTTGCAGGCAAGGGGACACTGGGACAGCTCTGGGGAGACATAAAAGTGATCTGACTTCTCCTGAGTTCTCCGTTACTCTAGGTGCCAAAAGGGGGATGACGGGCTTGAACACAGAACACATCATGGGGTCTCGTGCCCCAAAGCTCCCCACACCAAAATGTGATCTGATGGTTTGGGGCCAGAGGGACTTCGTCTATATCTACTCCCTTCCCTCCCAGACCTCCGCCAGGCTCCTCCGGTCCCCAGCTGGCAGGGGAGGCCTCAGGATGGGTCTCAGGGGAACGGTGGTGGCCTGGGACCCTCCTCGTCACTACAATCCCCAGTCTTCCCACCCACCCACTCCCACTGGGTGCAGGTCCTTCCTGGGAATGGCAGGTCCCCCCGCAGCCAGAGCTCTGAGCAGCTCCCTCTTGCCTCAGCCCCTGCCTGGGCCCAGCCTCACCCACCCTGTTGAGAGGTGGTAAATTCCCAGTACAACACAGGGGTGCAGACAGAACTGTGCCTTCGCCAGGGCTCCCGAGCACAGGCTCCGGTGACTGCCAGCCGGCCACGCTTCTCCAGAAGCAGTCTCTGGGAGCTGGGCTGCGGAGGGCGCCCCTGGCGACCCCTGAGAAAGGAAGCCCCACTCCGGGGTAGGAGGGGCAGGGGGCAGGTGGTCCCGCCCAGTTTTCCCAACCCTGGGGGGCGGCGACTCTCCGGAAACCACCGGACGAAGCCTCTTTCTCCAGGGCCACAACTTCCTCAATAGGCGGGAGGTCCCCGCGGGGTGGAGAGGTGAAGGGGGACAGCAGAGGGGGGAGGGGACGGGGCTCAGGGGTCTGCAGGGGCAGGAGGGGCTCCCAGTCTCCCACTGGCCGGCCGCCCCCACCCCAGCCGGCCCCAGGCGCACCCCGCGCCGCAGCCGCAGGTCCCCGCAGGAGTCTCAGGGCCCCGCCTCCGGGCCTCAACTCCCACCTCTCGGCCCGCAGCCGGGGGTCTCTGACCCCTCGGGACCCCGGCTCCCCCGCCCCGCCCCTCGGCCCGCAGCCTGGGGTCTCGGCGCCCCAGCTGCCCCGCCTGCAGCCTTGAGGCGCCGACGGCTCGCGTCCCATCTGCAGCTCACCCCGTCCTTCCCGCAGCCCGAGGTCCGGCGCCCCCGCCCCGGCCCGGCCCGGCCCGCGGCGCACTCACTCAGGCCGGACGCCAGCGCCTGCTCGTTGGCCCACATGGCCCACTCGATCTGCCCCATGGTGACGGTGGACGCGGCTCCGCTCCGCTGGGACACTGCAGCCCGCGCCGCCGCTCTCAGCCCGGAGTTCCGGGCCCAACCCCGCCCCAGTTCCCGGGCCGCCCCGCCCCGCCCCGCGGAACCGCTTGGCCTCGGGAGTTCCGGCCCCGCCCCGCCCCAGGGCACAGGCCTGGTGGGCGGGGCACCAAGGTGGGTGGGGCGCTCAGGAGACCTGCCTTCTGGCTCGACGGTCCCAGCGACCCTCGCCTCACCTCCCCAGCACCCCTGGGCGCACCGCCATCCCCACGCACGGGGAAGGCTGCTCGGTGCAGGGGCCTGCCCTGACGGCTCCTCCTAGCCAACCTGGGGCGCCCTAAGCATTGCCTGGAGGACGGGCGCCGACGAAGGGGGAACCCAGTGAGGGAGACACCCGCTTCACTAGGCAGTGTCCCCTCAAAAGGCTGAACTCCGCGTGCCAACAGGGGCTTCTTCAGAAGGTGTGAGTAGGAAAGATGCCCAGAGCCTTCGCCGTGCCCACTCAGGAGCACCCCTGGCAGAAGGGGCTCAGACAAGGAGCCTCTGAGTGTGTGTGGGGGGCAGGGCGGGCAGCTCTGGCCTCCATGGAAGTCCATGTTTGCTACTAAGGACAGTGGCAAGCCCAGTCCCCATTTCATCTCATCTCATCGTGGGCGCAGGGGAGGGGAATTAGGTGGTGCTCAAGGCTGGGAAAATCCAGAATGTAAGAGTGCTGGGTCCTCCCCCTTAAGGGCCAGCAGCAGCATCTGACCCTCCAGGGGAAGAGGTAGTCAAAGGGGGAGGTGTCCCCTCTCCTTTCCCTGCAAGCTGACGGTGCTGAAGCTGGGAAAGCAGGGACTGTGCAGTGACCGGCACACACTGGCCATTCCTGGGTTCCCGGAACCATGAGTTTCTGGGCTGAGGCGAGCCATCCCGAATCAGTGCTCCTGCCTGCAAACTTGCTTCCCACTTTTGTGGACTGGAAGCTTAAAGCCAGACCCAAACCACGTCCACACACATCAGGTCCCTAGTGACTGTCAGCCACCTAGTATGGCCTGTGGTCATGGGAGTGGCTATGTGCTGATCACCCCACTACAGGGCTGAGCAACTGGAGGGGAGCTTTGGTCAGAAGGTAGCTTCTTCAGGAGCAAGTCAGCAAGCGGGCAAGTTCCACGTTCTGTCCTCCTGCAGGAGGAAGCACATGGCCCGTGCCCCTCCGCCCCCCAATGAGTGCCGCCCACTGCCCCCACAGGAACGCTGGTTACACAGAAGCACACCAGGCTTGATCAGCAACTCTGGCTTTATTCCCAGTGGCCAGTTGACAGGGCTCCTTGTGACAAGGCATCTTGAGCTGTTCTCCCGCCTCCCACAGAGACACACTCCTGGTCTTTTCATGAAGAAACATTCTAACCATACCCAGTGGCCTGAGCTCTCAGAGGAGCTAGGATGACTGTCATTCATACTCAAAAGCACTTTGTAGAGGGACCCTGAACTTGCAGAGGTTAGTTCCTGAACAGTGACCACTCCTGCGGCTCCAAAGAGGGACGCCAACTTCCCATCATCTCAGGTGAAACAGCTCCTGTTCTGGGCAATGGGAGTGGCCCCAGAGCTCAGGGTCAGGGATCCTTCATGGGGATCCATCAACAGCTCACCCCTACCAGCTGGGTCCACCAGGTCCCACATCCTACCCCAGCCCTCATCTCAGCACAGCACAGGTGTGAAAGGTGAGGCATTTGGTGGGGGGCCTGCTCCTGGCCACCTGGGAGCCTGCAGGTGGTCACTCCACTGCTCCCACTCAGTCCCACCAGCCCCACCAAGCACGGCACAGCTGCCGCCACACCCAGCTCCCCAGTCCCAGAAAAGCAGCCCCTTCTCCAAGTGGCAGCCAGGGCTCCGGTAGAGGAGGCAGTCAAGGCATTGGCTTCGGCAGGCCGTCAGGGCCCAGCAGGTGAGCATGAGGGTGGTCCAAGATTTGAGGCCCGGGCCCCACCTGGCAGGTAGAGAAATCAATGTTAGGTTGGGTGACAGGGAGGGACAGGTGTGCCCCCACCCTCCCAGGTAAGTACAGGTCAGAAGCTGAGCGCTGTGAGATGATGCTCTGGCACAGCCATGTGGCCTGGCCTCCATTACTGACTTGAGTGGAAGGTAGAGACTGGGCCCTGAGTGTAGAAAGTCGAGGTCTTGGAATCGGACCATCTGATCTGCTTCTAGTGGGTGAGCCCTGAGGGTGCCCAAGATCCCAGGGTCTCCATTCCCAGCCCTGCCCTCTCCCCTCAGTACTAGGAACACGGCCCCACAAGTCAGTGTGTCCTGAAATGTCCATTTTGGGAACAAGCGAGTGAAACAAACCAGTGGACCAGATACCTTGAAATTGCTGTTACTCTTTTTTTTTTTTGTTAATCCTCACCCAAGGATATTTTTCCCATTGATTTTTAGAGAGAGTGGAAAGGAGGAAGGGGGGAGGGAAAGAGAGAGAAAAACATCAATGTGAGACTCATTGATTGGTTGTCTCCTGAATGTGGGCGCCGGGGATTGAACCTTGGACCCTTCAATGTGTGGGCTGATGCTCTAACCGTTGAGCTACACTGGCCAGGGCAACACTGCTGTTATTCTTAACAACTTGGCTTCCCATTCCAGATGAAGTGGGGGTGAAAGGAACCCCTTCCCTTCACCTTGTGGACACTGGGTCAAAGGCCGAGAAGCCCGTGTGCTGGATGGGGACTTCCCCAGGTGTGCTGGGTCGGAGGGCCCCCGGACCCTGGGGCTGAGGGCCCACGCCAGGCCTCACCTGAGTGACAATGATGTATCTGATGCCGCTGGGGGTGGGCTCCACGCCCAGTGCAGCTTTAAGCTCCTCTGAGAGCGGGGCAGGCCTCACGGGCAGCCCCTTCAGAAACCTGGGGGAAGGAAGGCAGGAGTGTGCTGTGCGTCCATCGACGGCTGTGTGCAGGACGTGCAGACCAAAGACAGGAAGGGGTGTGACTGACCACGGATACAGGGCTTCTTTTGGGGTGACAAAAAATTCCAGAATAGAAGTGCTGGTTGCACAACGAATGTACTTAAGGCTGCTGAATTGTCCACTTCAAAGTGTATTTGACCACACACATAAGAGACTGAGCACGAAGGACCAAGTGCCAGGCTGGGGTCACTGTGAAGGGAGGGCTTCAGGAAACCTCCCTGAGGTTCTGGGTTCACCCCCAGTGGAGTACCAACGTAAGAAAATGCCTCAGTCCGAGCATCTCTGCACATCGCCCTTGCAGGTACAGGGCAATGAGCCCAGCTTCCGACCAGGGCACCACCGGCCTCCAAGGCCATCATGGCTGTCATCACGGCTGTCCCGCTTGGTGAGGAAGTTAGGACCCTGGCCTCCCACTCACGAGCCATCAGTACTGCCCCAATTATGGAGACAAGTAGAACAACCCCCACACTTCCAGCACCCCTAACAGTAAGGTGTCCCCACATTGAGAAGGGACCATTAAAACGCCTGGTAGGAAGAAATCCAAATGCTCTGTCCCCACAGTGGGGCTGTAGTCATTGTCCACACAGGAGCCACGATGCTGCGTGTGTGTGTCTGTGACTACAGGGCTAAGACATGTGACGAGGGAGAGCTGCTGGTCACAGCAAGGCGCACTTGGTGACACACTGCGCCTTGTGGGACTCCCTATTCAGCACCACAGCCTTGGGTGTAGCTGTCCCTGATCCCGGGAGGGGACCCTGCTCCTCCCTCCTCGGCTTCCCACATGGGGGGACCCACAACTCACTTGTCTCCATTTGACCCGGGGGGGAAGCTGTGCCTCACGGCAGCCACAAACTCAGCCACAGTGTCATCCAGGGTAAAGATCACGGCGTTGGGGCCTGCATCAAATGTGTACGCCACCTGAAACCCATGCAGTCAACGTCAAGGTCTGCACAGGGCTCTGCCTGGCTCAGACCCTGTCTGTCCAGAGACCCAGGGCCTCCCAACCCGGAGTAGAGCAGTGACACCTCTGTCCAACAACTCAGGACCGGGGCGTGGGGGGCTCCCCACCGGTGCTTTAAAGTACAGGCCGAGATCCTTCAGAGGGTATGCAGCCAAAATGAAACGAGAGACGGAAACCATCAGTGCTCTGCACGCGTGAGCATCAAGCAGGTTCTGTGCAGCTTTGCCACAGACAGGCACGTGCTGGTTTTACGGAGGATCGTGGCCTGGGGCCCGCTCTGTGGGTTCCGGTGCTGCCCCGGCCCCGCCTTGCCTTGGTCTGCCCGTGGTGTGCATTGAAGCGGTGCACCAGATGGATGACACGCCTGGAAATGTCGCTGAGGTAAGAGATGGGCGGGAAGGTGTCCAGGCAGGTGGCATGGAACTGGTTGCTGTCCTTCATGGTCAGCTGGCCAAAGCCCTGGAAGTTTCTCTCTTTGATGTGGCGGATCATCTCTGCCATGCGCGCCGGCACCACCGCCTCAGCCCGGAACTGCGAGACACAGGTGCTGCCAGTGAGGCACTGGCTGCCCCACGGCACAGCGGCCAGAGCGCAGGCGCCGGGGCGGAGCCGCTCCCAGGCCTCGGCATCCACTCCCACGTCCAGCAGAGCAGATGAGCTCGGCTTCAGAGGACATGGGTGGAGCCTGGCAGTGTCCTGACATTCAGGTTGTGGCTCGGGGAGCTGGCACCTGCCCAGTGCCGGCCTTACCTTGAGTAGGGGGCTGGTCTCCACGCTGGTCTGCATGCCCACCGTGCTGCCAGTCAGCTTCTTCTCGGCACTCACCTGCGCCGAGGGAGAGATGGCCTGGCCTCACACCCGGGCCCCCTAAACACCCACCCATCCTGTCGCTCCCCTCAGCTGGTACAGGCAGTGGGGTGGAGGCCAGCACCTCCTGCCCACGGAGGCCTCCTGACTGGCAGAGATGACAACAGCGTATGGGTCAGCAGCCCCCTGACTGCATGGGAGTCACCCCCGAATGCTCCACGGAGAGGCAGGTGAAGCCTCCTGCTCCCAGCTTGGCTCACGGGGACCGTCACTCCACAGCTGTCTCACTCACCACAAGGATGAGGACTCGGAGTTCGGGCCAGTGTGATTCAGGGGCCACTTGCCGGGCGACGCTGTCCTTCCCGTCAGCCTGCTCCCCCATCTGCCACTCCACGAAGCCACCGTATAGGCTCCGGCAGGCGCTGCCTGAGCCCCGGCGAGCCACTTCCGAAAGGTCACTCTCCACCCCGTAGACTTGGGCCAGGGAATAGGCTGTAGGCACAGAAGGGAGGGTGGACAGGGGACGAGGACTAAGACATACAGGGGACAGGGCTCCCAGCCCAGGCTGTGCTCAGCACCTGGCAAGAATATGCCCCACAGGAAATTAAAAATTCTGAGATGACGGAGTTCCAGCCACCAACTCTCACCGTTAGCACTCACACACTCAGCCACACGCCCATCCATGCACACAGCCAGCTTTGCAAAGGCACACTGGACACACAAAGACCACTGGAGCCTGTGGAGCTGCAGTGGAGGGGACCACTCTTGGGGACCTGAAGGACTGAGCGCCGAGGGGCCAGAGTCTCCCCAGGGAAGTGGCACAAAACTGGGCAGGAAACAAGACACAGAGGCCTGAAGAATGTACATGCTCAGGGTAGCCGGCACGCTGGGTATGAAGGACCACGGCTGGGCCTGGTAAAGGGTCTGATGCCAGGATGCACAGCTGGGGCCACAAAGCAAGAGTTCTGTCCCTGACACTGGCACCCCTCCGGCTTGGCTTGCCCTCCCCCTCCCCCTGCAGTTCCTGAGGGTGGTTCAGGCCTGGGGACATAAGCCAAGCCGAGCCAGTAAGCATTGTCCCTGGGGTTTTCACTGGCCACTCGTCTCCATGGCCATGAGGACCGTGTGAGCCCACTGCCTTCCACTGTGGTAACCAGTGGGGACGTCCTGCCAACACAGAGCAGAGCAAGACAGGATTTCCAAGGAGAGAAACGGATGCTCAATGAGGCTGTGGGAGAATCTGGAACCAACCACACCTGAAGCCAGCTGCACCCCTTGGAATTCTGTTACGTAAGCTAAGAAACTGTCCCTACGTTAGGCTTAAGCCAGTTTGAGATGAGCTTCTGTCACATACAACCTAGAGGGTCCGATATATGGAACCCTCGGGAGATTTTAACATTCAGACATGTAAGAAGACCAAAGCCTCGGCCTCGTGTGACGAGGGCTCTCTGAAGGCTGCCAGGCCATGAGTCCTTGGGGGCACCCACCTAGGCAGGCATAGCCTGCAGCTGAGGAGGCCAGGCCTGCGGCTGTGGGGAAGTTGTTCACCGATGCGATGTGAACCTTATAGCTGAGGCTGAGGGGTGGCGGGTCCTCTTCCTCATCACTCCTCCGCTTTCGGGCCAGGCGACGGACTGTGGGGAGGGGGAGGGGGAGATAGCCACTGGGCAGAGCTGCCCGGACCTGCTCCTGGCATCTCGTCTGCCAAGGGTCAGAAGCACGGCTGACACCAAGCCTCTGCCCCACATTTCTGCAGACTTCCTTGCTGAGGAAAGCCCCGGACCCCAGACCCAAACCCGGCTGTGCTGACAGATGTCCCCCCCGCCCCCCGAGGGTTCTCAAAGCTGGGTGGGGAGGGCAAAGGGAGCAGCACCTGCTGTGCTCTCAGACTCAGCCCAGAGCCAGGAAGAGACGGAGGGGAAGGAACAGGCTGGGACTCCCACTCACTCTCCCTCAGGCAGGCCTGGATGCGCGGCTGCCCTATATCTTCCTCCCGGCCATTAAGCCAAATCCGGTCCTCGGTGAAGTCCTTGCTAATGACAGCTGTCGTAGTGGTTTTTAACTGGGAAAGATAATGCAGGACCACCTCAGGGGCGAAGCACCCCTTTCTGCTGAGGAGGCCTTTCCTGCCATGGCCCATCACTGCCACCCACTCAGGGGCAGGAACAGCCTTGCAGGGGAACAGGAGGTGGAGGCCAAGGCAGGAGGGGTCAGGCGGTGAGGTAGGCGGGCTCGGCGCCAAGCCTGGTCTCCCAGTACGGGTGAGGCTGACGCTTCCATCTCCCACAGCAGAGCCACTGGGCGGGGCATGAGAGTGCAGGGACAGAACCTCAGAGGAGATCTGGGGGTGCATATGCAATAAGCTTTCCTATCTGTGGGGCATGAAACAGACACTGTTCGTGGAATGGGGATTTATTGCTACCAATTGTTAAACAAATGTTTAGTAAATTTTAATGTTGGTGTTGATTGCTAGTCCGTACTAACCTGGTCCTGGTGCAAAGTGACACTCAGAGAGGAGTTGATGGGCAGGATCAACTCCTCATCTCGCTTCCCCCCTGGAACAGACAACCCAAGGCAAGGCCAGTCAGTTTCCCAGCCCTGCAAACCAGGGCACTGTCACCCTCACCCACCAAAGCCCTATCCTCCCCACTGGTGCTCCCCAGTCACCCTCACTCCCATCCCACAGATCCCCCATTCACCCGGACACCGCTCTCTCACTGCACAATCTAAGTCCTCTTCCTGCTGTACCCACACCTTCAGGAAGCCCTCCTGGATTGCTCCCCACTTCACTGAGTTCCAGGTCCCAGAGCAGAGCTGGAGGCTAGCCATCTCCCTGCTTCATTGTTTTTTGTTTCATCTTCTTTCGCTCATTGGACAAATCACGTTGGAGTGCCTACCAGCTACTAAATGCTTGACTGCTAGACTTTTGCCTTTTCCTCCCAAAATCTCCTTGCTTGTACTCCCTGGAGACACTCAAAACCGCCCCCACTTCTGCAGAGCACTTCCACTCTTGGCATCTAATGACAGAGTTTTGAAATTTGCTGCCCTTTTGATTTGGGGTGATTGGCAGAGTTATAGGAGATAATAAAGATTTATACTGGGCAAAAGATCTATGAGAGCCCAGAAAGAGACCCCATAAACTTCACCCAACTGATTTTTTGACGAATGCAAAAGAAATTCAATGGAGGTACAGCTTTTCTGGCAAATGCTGTTGGAATAACTGGGTATCTATAGGTCACCAAATCAACCTCAACCCAAGTCTTATACCTTATACAAAAAATAACTCAAAATGGATCACAGAGTTCAATTTAAATTGTAAACCTTTCGGCCCTGGCCAGTTTGGCTCAGCGGTTGGAGCATTAGCCTGTGGACCAGAGAGTCCTGGGTTCGGTTCCCGCTAGGGGCATGTACCAAAAAAATAAATAAATAAAAATGTAAACCTTTCAGAAGAAAATCTTTGGGATGTAAGGCTAGGCAATGAGGTCTTAGACTTGACACCAAAAGCATAAACAGAATTAACTAATACACTGGACTTCACCAAATTTTTTTTAACTTTTGCTGTTTGAGAGACCCTGTTATGGGGTTTAGAAGACAAGATACAGGATGGAAGGAACTATCTGCAAACAAGTATCCAACAAAGGATTAATATCCAAAATATAAAATGAACTCTCAGAAACTCAATGGTAAAGAAACAAACAATGCAATTAAAACATGGACAAAAGACATGAGACATTTCACAAAAGAGGATACACAGATGACAAATAAGTCCATGAAAAGGTGTTCAGCATCACTGGCCAGCAGAAAAACATACACTAAAACTACAACAAGGTATCACCTAAAACAAAAACCAGCGACAACACCAAATGCCAAAAAACAATCTACATTGTTGGTGGGAACATAAAATGGTACAGCCACTCAGAAAAACAATTTAATAGTTTCTTGAAAAAAAAAAAATTTAAATATGCATACTCTATGACCCAGCAAGTAGACCCCGGGGTATTTATAGTAGGAGAATGAAAACTTATGTCCACACACAAACCCATGGGAACAGGACTCAGCCAAAGGAGAGAAGTACTGCCCTGACCGGTTTGGCTCAATGGTTAAAGTGTTGGCCCAGGGACCAGTGAGCGGTGGGTTTGATTCCAGTTAGAGGCTGTTTGACCCTAGCCCTTGATCTTGGTCATGCCAGAGGCAACCAGTCCATGTGTCTATCTCATGTTGATGTTTCTCTCTCTCTTCCTTTCTCTCCCTCCCACTCTATCTGAAGATAAATGGAAAAATATCCTCAGGTGAGGATTTAAAAAAGAGAGAGAGAGAAGTACTGATACCACTGCCACCTGGATAAACCTCCAGAAATTATAGTGAGTAAAATGCACCAATTGCAAAATGCTACACGCTGAACATTCCATTTATGAAGCATTCTTGAAAGTATAACATTTTCCAAATGAAAAGCAGGTCCCAGGTGGCTGGGGTGGGCGTGACCGTGGGAGCTAAGCCCCCCTCAGGGATGGACATCCAGTGTGGACCATGTCCCCCACCCGAGCCCCCGAGGGGATGGACACCTTGTGTGGATTATGTCCACCAAGTGTCCTGGGACCTGCGAGGATATACGTCCTATGTGAGCTGCGTCCCAACCCCTGCGGGGACGGACATCCCATGTGGCCAGTGCTCCTCAAGTGCCCCGGCTGCAGCGTGGGTCCGGGGCACCGCAAGCCACACCACCGCGCCGGGTGGACAGCTGGGGTAGTGCCCACCACTGAGTATGGACCTCCAACCGCGCCATCGCCTCTTCCACCGCCCACCCACGCCGGGCTGGCGGCCCCCACGTGCAAGCCCCGGCCCGCGCACTCACAGTACTTGATGACCGCGATGTTGACCGGCGCGGTGCAGGTCACCGCCACAAGCGGCTTCTCCGAGGCCATGGCTGAAGAATACTGAGACCCTTGCCCACAGCGGCCCCGGGTCGGAACCCGCGCCCCAGCAGGCCCCGCCATTGGCTCACGTGTTCGCGCGTCGCCCAATCAGTGACGGGTTCGTCCCACGCTCCATCTCTCAGCCAATGAGCGGGATCGAACGATGGCCTGCCGACGCTGAGCCCGCCCTCCTCCGGTGGCGTTCGGTCGCGTAGGCGTGGCGTGCGCAGGCGCGGCACGCCGGCCTCACTGGAGCGCGGCGGTCCCCTGACGACCTCCCGCGGGCGGCTGGTCCGGGCTCGTGGTGGGCGAGTTGGACCTAAGGGGTTCTCCTGGCTGAGAGGAGGCTGCGTGGGGCGCGGGAGGCCAGGTATCTCCGCAGCTCGGGTCGGAAGACTCGGGTGACCCTGTCGGGATGCTCCCTGGGCAGAAGGTTAAGAGGTTCCCAGCATGGCATCTCGCGACGCCCCGATTTTTCCCAGCCGCTGGGGGTCCCCTGCGTCCCAATGCCGGCGGTCCTGCAGCGCACATTCCCCCACGGGCCCTGTCACCTGGGGGTCCCACGAACTCCGCATTCCCCTGGCTGACCAGTTGGGTGACCAGCGCTGGGTGGCAGCTGCTAAGGGATCAACTGCTTTAGAGATAGGCGCTTTCAAAATCCACTCCCTTTTTTTTAATTCTCACCCAAGGATATGTTTTCATGGAGTTTTAGAGAAAGAGGAAGGGTGAGGGAGAGAGAAAGAGAAGCATTGATGAGAGAGAACATTGATTGGCTGCCTCCTGCAGGGATCGTGCGCACAACCTGGATGTGGGCATGTGTCCTGACCGCAAGTGAACTGGAGACCTCTTGGTGCCTGGGTCCACGCTCAGCCACTGTGCCACACCCGCCGGGCCACACTCTCTTTGTTTTAATCCTCACCCAAGGATATATTCTCATTGATTTTTAGAGAGAGGAAGGGAGAGAGAGAAACATTATTGATTGGCTGCCTCCCCCTCGAACCCTACCGGGCAGGGGTGTCAAACCTGCATCCCAGGCACGTGCCCTTGACCAGGAATGGAACCTGTGACCCTTCTGTTCCGGAGCCAAGTAAGCGCTGAGCCAAACCAGCCAGGACGGTACCTCATTTTTAAAATAAGATGAAATGGTTCTGAAAGGAAGCTCTTATGGGCTGAATTGTATCCCCTGAAAATTCCTATGTTGAAGTCCTAACCCCTAGGACCTCAGAATGTGACTGGAGACAGGGTCCTTAAAGGGGTAATTAAGTTAAAAATAAGATCAGTAGGGTGGGTTCTAATGCAACATGAGAAGGGAAATAAAAAGAAGACACATACTCATAGAGGGATGACCACTTGAGGACACAGGAAGAAGATAACTATCTACAAGGCAAGGAGAGAGGCCTCGGAGAAACCAGCCCAGAGCAAGCATGTTGGTGTACACAGAGGATAGATCCTCGTGGTATCTCTGCCTGCTTTGAGGTGTCCCCTTAGCACCCTTGCTCTTGCAAGTATTTTTGCGAATCATCAGAGGTGCCTTCCAGCCACCTGCCAGTATCTGGCTGCTGCTATTTCCTTGAAAGGTTTGTGGTTCTAATAGAAACAGTTGAAGGTCTCTCGTTGTAAACCAGAAAGACCAGACTGTGAGTCATAGAGTACAGAGGGCTGAACATTTATTGAGCACCAATTGTGTGCCGGGTGTTTCACTGGGCAAGTTGCCTGTTATTTAGGCTCCAGGCCCCGCTGTTAGTGGGCAGACGTCACACCTGGCTCAGGAGAAATCCTTCCCAAATCTACCTTTGGAGCCATTGCTCTGCTGCTGTTCTTTGATACCCTTCTTTGCTTTTTCTTTGCTGTTTCCTTTTCTTCCTCAAACCCTGGTCAGCTCTATAACATTTTGTGCATTTCCTGTTTTTTTTATTTTTATCCTCACCTGAGGATACTTTTCCATTTATCTTCAGATAGAGTGGGAGAGAGGGAGAGAGAGAAACATCAACGTGAGAGAGACACATCGACTGGCCGTCTCCCGAATGACTCCAACCAGGGCCAGGGATGAACCACAACCAAGGTGCGTGCCATTTGCCGGAATCGAACCCACAACTCTTTGGTCCTCGGGATGATGCTCAAATTGCTGAGTCAAACTGGCCAGGGTTCCGGTTTCTTATACTTCCTTCTAGTCCTATTTTCTTTCTATTTATCGCACCTTCTCTTCCCCTAACCAGGGGGTGAAGGAAAACCAGCTTCCCACCTTTGAACTCCAGAGCTCCAAAATACTTTCTTCCAGGTCCAGGCAGCTGCCCTTCCTGCACATTCTCCTGGACACCCTCTGACCATCTCAACTCATGCCCTGGCTGCATTTTTTTTTTTTTTTTTTTATCCTCACTGGAGGACATTTTTCCATTTTTGTACAGACAGAGTGGGAGGGAGAGAGAGGAAGAGAGAGAGAGGGAAACATCGATGTGAAAGGGACACATCGAGTGGCTGCCACCCGCACGACCAACCAGGGCCGGGGACAAACTGCAACCAAGGTACATGCCCTTAGTGGGAACCGAACCCGGGTCTCTCCGGACCGCAGGTGGACGCTCTAACCGCTGAGCCAAACCGGCCAGGGCTCTGGCTGCATTTTGAAAAACAGTATCTGCCATCTTGATCGGGGACCCGAGTTTTGCTTTCCAAGGGAAAGGAAAGCTCAGAATTTCTTACTGGGCAACGAAGGAGGCAGCCTCTGGATCCAGAGTGCTTGGGTTTAAATCCCAGCTCTGCCACCGACCTGCTGTGTGACTTTGGACAAACTGTTTAACCTCTCTGTACTTCAGTTTCCTCGCCTGGAAGAGAGGGATAAGGTAGTTCCTCCCTCATAGAAGATAAAGCCATAGAAGGGTTATGCCAGTGTCATGCCTGTGTCAATCCACAGTAAGGGTTGGTTATTATTGGTCCCCAAAGAAGCTCTGGGACCAGTGCCTTGCAGAAGAAACAGAATGTCCATTTGGTTACATCAATGAGTAACTCACACGCTTCTATAGCTTCCAATTTTCTAAAACGAGGGCTCCAAACATGCCACCGCTGACTGTACGCACGTGGCGAGGAAACCTCGCCAGCTGGGTCGGCCGGCTGGCACCACCGCTCTGCACTTGCCTGGGCGTCCTTCTCCTGAGCCACTCACCACGGAAAGTATTTTCTTCATTAAGGGGACGTGCACCCAGTTCACCTGCCTTCAAACACATGTACTCATTGTTCTGCACCACAGCCTGCCTGGGTAAATCGATCCAGGGCTTGGTTCACCTGGTAAACATGAGGCTGCTTGCCCTGCCTCCTGGGGCTGATAGTGGTCATTCAGTTTGTGCTACAGAGAGCAGATTTCGTTCCAAGGATGGGAAAAGCCACGACTGTGACATTAGCCCCAGCGATGGATTTAAAAAACCCTCCTGTTTCGACTGAGCCTTTGTGATCCCCGCTTAGTATCCTGTATTCCCTTGATGTTTGTTGAGTGTCTACCCCGGATCAGATACATGGTTGGACACATGGATACAGAGGTTGCTGCCATATGGTGGGGGTTTGTGGGGGAAGGTGGCCTTGTGCTTGATTATGGGCTTGAAGCTGAGACTGGGGGGTCAGACAACCCTGTCCAAGGTTGGAACGGTGGGGAGGGGTGGAGAGAAGGTTGTGGAGCTGCACTGGGGGTGCAGGGTAGAGGACGAATCAAAGATGGAAATTGTGAGAGTGTGAACTAAGGTGACCCCTGAGGATCGAGATGAAGAGGCTGGTCTGAAAAACTCAGAGGTGAATTGACCGACATGGGTGTCAGGAATGTGGGGGCTCCCGAGCAGGGAGTAGGGGGCCATTCTCTTGCTGCTGTCTTGGGTCTGTGATGAAGTCACATGCCCTCAGGGATTCGTTTCCAGAGTTTGTGGACGAAGCTGAATACACACACAGACTTACTCCTCATAACCTCTAAAGTCACCCATGAGACAGCAGAATCATCTCTCCGAGGCCCGTGCAAGCTTTTCTTCTAGCACTGGCTGGGCCGCTGTTTCTTTGGTACCACGTCCATATATTAGAATCACACGTGGGTCCGGCCGGTGTGGTTCAGTGGTTGAGTGTTGACCCATGCACCAAGAGGTTGCTGGTTCGATTCACGGTCAGGGCACATGCCCAGGTTGTAGGCCCGATCCCCTGTGGGGGGCATGCAGGAGGCGCCAATCCATGTTCTCTCTCATTGATGTTTCTATCTCTCTCTCCCTCTCCCTTCCTCTCTCTAAAATCAATAAAGAAAAAAAAATCTTTAATAAAGTCAATAAAGGGAAAAGAAAAGAACCACATGTGGAATAGTGACTCTTAAGCGTTGTGTCTCAGGACACTTTCACACTTTTCAAAATTACTGGGGATGCAGAGAGCTATTATTTATGTGGGGTGCACCTGTTAATATATTTACCCATATTAGAAATTAAAATTAATACATTCTTTAAAGATTTCTTAAATTTATTTAAAATCATCCTTAATGAACCCACCACAGGTTAATATTTTCGTGAAAAATAACTACTTTCTGTAACAAAGTTTTAGTGAGTTGAATGGCTTTTTTGCACTTTCTTTAGCGCCTGCCTTTATAGCTTTCAGCAGCTGGCTCTCCTGTCTGCTTCTGCCTGCGCTGCTTTGGTGGGTGCCCTGTAGCCCCACTGCGGTCTCCTTCAGCATAGCTTCTGGAGAGGCCCAAAGACCACCCGTGAGAGCCACCGGCCTAGGAGTGCTGGTTCTGTGCGAGGAGGAGGAGGAGGAGGAGGTGATGGGGCCACAGGACAGCGGCCATGCCTCACCCCCGTGTGCCGGGGAGCATTCTGGGGGACAGCAGGCCATTCCTCCCGTACTCGGTGAAAGGATGGCAGCAGGATCCCCTCCTGACTGTTCTCAATCTCAGCCTCTCTTTTTGGCCAATTCAAAACAGTTACCATCCGCCTGGTCAGTGTGGTTCAGTGGGTGAGCGTCGACCCACGCACCAAGAGATCACTGATTGGATTCCCGGTCAGAGCACATGCCCAGGTTGTGGGCCTGATCCCCAGCGGGGGGC